ACCAGATAGGAAGAAGAATGCATATCTAACAGTGCTCTCCCATGACAAACACACAGAGACACACAAAACATATGAAGAGCACACAGGGATATATTATAATCAAAATGGAAACTACTGTGTATGAAAAAATAGTCATACTCTTAAGAACAGAGTAACGCTTCAGTGAAGAGACAAATACTTAGTTTTGTAAATAAGCGGCATGTATTATCACATTTAAAAGGGACAGCTGTCTGATGAGACAGAGTATGTGCAAGGCAGCAGCAATGACATTTAGTTCAGGCCTTCCACAGATGGAATTTGCCATCTAATGTATGTATTAAATGACTAGAGAAGGGCAATGAATATTGTACATTAATTGTAAAGATTAACAAAAGCTAAGAATTTCAAGTTTCACAATTATACCTAAAAAGGCATATGTGTATGAATTCATTAAATCATTGTCCCTGGCCAGGGAAGCCAAATGCCCAAATAATACCCCAACCAGCCAGTCTCTTGTTAGGAGACCACTGTTGTTCCATCAGTGATGTGAGGAGAGGACACTGCCTGTATAGTACACAATGTAAGTAAGCAATCTGAATAACTCTAAAATTGGGATGTGAAGAGACACGAATAATGGGATAGCACCATTCACTGTCTAAAAAAGTAAGATATTTTCAAGATATTTTCAGAAGCTAGATTGTCCTCCAAAGATTAAGTTTTAGGAGCAAAATGCCATCATGTTTCCGAGTAACGTGCTATTGAACCAAAGAATGTGGTATGTTGTACCCATGAAGAATAACTTCTCTAGATTCAAAAACCATGACATGGTCAATTGAGGTTGTATAAATAAATATACGGGTGGATCAAGAAAGCAGGATTTATAAAGTATTTTCTCATTTGATTAGACTAGACTTATATGTACTGGTTGATTAAAATACTGTAAATATTCTTTGATGTGTCCAATAATTAAAAGTGAATTTTGTTTACTGGTCAACATAACTCATAAATAAAATGCTACAAAAGACTGGCAAAGATAACTCTAGTGCAACGGTGGGGGACAAGGGGGCAGAAATTACTGAAGCAGTTACCTGTCCTCTGGAATTAAAGGATGAGAACCAGCATTCCCAATTCCAAGGATCCATATTCCATAATCTATTAGCTTGGCTTTCCATATACTAGATGAAAACTGTGCTATTTCTGTCCTGGAAGTATCAAAAATGTCTAACTTTTTCTGGGCTCTATATCGGGGGAATTACTTAATATGAAACAAATTAGAGGAATCACCATTTTCCCCAAAGCACAAACAGAGGGATTTGAATTCACTAAGCAAACAGCCTCCTAAAAGATCTGTTAATATTAAAGCATTTTAATAATCATTTAAAGTTATTAACCTGATTTTTTAATGGCAGAAATTGACTCATCAAAAAAATAAAAACACTGATTCATAAAGTCATTCATCTTATTTTCTAAACATGGTTTAGATGGTCTTAAATGTATCTCTTTGACAATTTAGTTAAAATTCACCAAGACAAAATTATGTTAAAATTATATTTAAGGAAGAAAAAATATATAAATGAAATGGTTTTTAACTACACATTAAGTTTTGAATGATTGCACATAAAATAAGCATGGGGACTTTTAAAATACCATCTTCATCATGTCTTTTTCCTATCTCTAAGGAAAGATCTTGAATTCAATTTGTGCAAACCATTCAGGTTTTCACTTGTTTCCATTATATAGGCCCAGATGTGTTGCTGTGTGGTTATTATAAAAGGTTAGACTCTCTTCCTTTTCTTTCTACTACAGTTTGTAAATTCCAAACCAACAGTACTGATACACCAGTCAGCATTCTGAACTATAAGTAGAGAGCAATCTTGAATCTAACCAGCTAATACTCATGATCCATAGCCAATTGCCATGACTTTGTTAGCTAACAGGTTCTAGGACTCAAGATTTAAAAAGAAGAAAGAAGGTCAAACTTGCTCAAATTGCCTCTGTATACATTTGTTTTCAGAAGGGAAAGTACATTTTGTACTCTATTTTGCTCTTTGTTCTGTTTTGTTTTCAAACAGGAGAATGTTTCTTTCATGATAGAAAAATGTGTGTAGCATCACTTAAATCTCATGTTTGCTCGAAAAACTGTACTAAAATTAGCCCACCAATAACCTCTTCTATATTTGATCATGTCTATATTTTATCAAAAACTATATTTGAAAAATAGTTAATGCATTCCCCTTCCCCCCCAAAACCCTGAAAGTCTGAATATCAAATACCTGCTTCATAAGTGTCAGAGATAAATATGTTTTGTGTAAGGAGTGTTTTTAAGCATTTGAAAAATTCCTTGAATGGTCTCATACTGATAAGATAAATACTGACAAGATATGCAGTAGTCACTGCAGTAGCTCAGAACAGAATGAACTATAAATACAGGTTATTGCTTCCTGTTATTTTTTAAAATATAAATTCTTATTAGGAAGATGCTTGTATTTCTAAAATGAATGTAACTCTGACACTTTGAATCTCTCTCTGATTTTATAATTTACGCAGCTGAGATCAAGTGCTGATTAGATTCAATTTTTAAAAATTTAAACCATGAGAAATAGCCATAATTTTAAAAGCAATTAAACTTCTATTAGAAAACCCAAAAAAACAATTTTCCTGTCTTCACAAATTAGACATTCTGATGAACAATATTTTAACATTATATTCTATAGTTTCCTGAAGAAGGCATCAATTTCATGTAGTAAAGTTACAACTTAAATCATATGTTATCAATAAATGCCATTTCATAAAAATGCTCTGAACTGATTTGGTTGCTATTCATCTGACATCCTCAGTACCACAAAACAAACATCAATTAAGACAGCCACTTGATACAAACACCCGTGGACTAAGAAGTGAAATACATTCAAAATAAATAAATAAGTAAGAAATGAAGATATAGTAAAAAGGTTAACAATAAGTAACTGATAAGGGAACATCTCAGGAAACTTCTTCCATTCCTGCTTTACAAATAAGAGACACAGAGAGAACTAAATGATCAGGTTATTTAACACCTACTGAGTTCATAGAGAGAAATCTAGAGAAAAATGTAGGAAACCACAAGCTAAAAATCTTGACCTTAGCAGTAGGAGCTACACTGAAAATTCTAATAAGGGCAGAACCAAGGAACACCTGGACAGTTATTTAATTAAGGATCTCAGCATGAGTCATAAAAGAGATATCAGGATGAGAAATTATTCCGAGATTTCCTTGTAAAAGCTGACTGTCAAAAATGCCAGAGACATTCCATCTTCCCTGTTTTGGACTCTATTTTGAAGCATACAGACTTGTGTATGAAAGATAGAATCAGAACTAATTAAACAGCAACAAAAATACTGGTTAGAACCTTCAAGTGAAGATAGCTGGACAAAATGCCAAATGAAGTATAGGTACTTCAGGCACCAAACTGGTACTTTAAGTGGAACACCAAGTATGATTAACAAATGAAGCAAGGCCCTAAGAGTAGAAGAGTAAGGTATGACTTTTTGTGAATGATTTTTAAAAATCATTCTTGTGAATGATTTTCACAAAAAAAAAAATTATTTTTAAAAATAATAAGATATATGGGGCACCTGAGGGGGCTCAGTTGGTTAAGCGTCAGACTTCGGCTCAGGTCATGATCTCACAGTTTGTGAGTGAGAGCCCTGTGTCAGGCTCTGTGCTGACAGCTCAGAGACTGGAGCCTGATTCAGATTCTGTGTCTACCTCTCTCTCTGCCCCTGCCCCACTTGTTCTCTGCTTCCCCCTTCTCTCTAATGTTTTAATAAAACATTAAACAAAATTATAAACAGGAAGGTATAATATTACACTCAAGCAAAGGAATAATATAATTCACAATATACTGCCCCAACTAGGCTGAATTACGAGGTTAGAAAATATCCACAGCTGGCTCAGTTGGTTAAGCATCTGACTTGATTTCAGCTCAGGGCAGGATCTCATGGTTCATGAGTTCGAGCCCCACATCGGGCTCTGTCTGTGTTGACAGCTCAGAGCCTATCTGGGATTCTCTCTCTCTCCCACTCTGTCTGCCCCTCCTCTGCTCTCTCTGTCTCTCAAAATAGATTAAACTTAAAAAGAAAAAGAAAGTAAAAGAAAATGTCTGCAACCAAGAGAAACCACAGAGGCTGTGCTGAGCACACACAAATTTGGGATGAGTATTCCTGAAGATTAGTCACCAAACAGTTCCTTATTCTATGAGTTTCTAGAAGTCACATACCTATGTTCCTATTTGAGAGTGGAGGCCACTTCTCTTACCGATTTCAGAGAGCTATTAGTTAAATTAACCATCAAGTATCTAAAGGAATGCCAGAAATCAGAATCCCTTCCCAGACAATTTTAATCATTATCTATGCATTTGTGTTACAGTGCCACAACAAAAAACAGGAATTTTTAAATTATGTTACAATTATTTGGGAACACATTTTTCTTCCTTTCTAGATTATAAATTCCTTGAAGGCACATAATTATTCATTGATCTTCACACTCCCCCCAGCACATAGCAGAAATGCAGTTACTATTTCTTAAAGAACAAATTAATCATTATCAATCTTTTCCCAGGTCATAAGACTCTTCTCATAACTGACCTACTCAGTCCTAACAAGCAAATAAATGTAAGCTTCTCCCTGTGATACTATTAAGATGGTAAAATACAAAGCAGAAAGTGGTTTGTGGCAATAAAAGTAGCATGTGAGTGCTACCTTTGAAACCATTTGGGATTCAACTGGGTTGTGTTAGGCAAATGGCAGGAGGAAAAGGAGATAAGGTTTATTCTGTTACGTGTCACATTGGAAAAGAACGCTTAGACCACCATGTGGTCCATGTTTCCTACATCCACTTATACAACTGTGTACCACCTCCTTGAGTAACAGCCCTGTTGGTGCTGTGTACAAGAGAGGGGCACATTTGCAGTGTTTTCAATTCCATTTTCAAGGAGGAAAGTATCTAAGTATAATCAGCCGAGAGTAATAAAATATACTGACCTGGATCTGTTGCTGCAGGAGATTAATTTTGTGCTGCTGCTGCAGAAGTTGCTGCTGTTGTCTTGCAATCTATCAGAAATAAAGTTTAGTTAAGTTCAAATGAAATGCTTCCACCTTTGCCATTACCCCAGGTATCTCTCTTGGAATTGCAAGAATGCTTTACTGTACTTCTATATGAAACAGTTCCTATGAAATGAAAGAGGCAGACTTAGTAAGCTGGAGAAAATGACAAATTTCAAACAGCTGCCACCTCTCTGCTTACCCCCTAAATCTCTCTCTGTAGATGAACAGGACCCCTTGTATGACATTTGTGAACAGTTCATCTGTATCTGCAATGGTCGTCTAGAAAGAATGGGAATTTTGAAATCTGATCTTTGGACAAAAAAAAAAAAAACAGGAAAACTCTGGCTATGTTTTCTCAAGAGTTTAATTTGGATCTGTAAGTAAAGACAGGAAAGAACTTTCTATTACTTATAACATGGTCTACTTTGGTGAAATCTTTTCTGAAGGGAAGATTTTCAGAACTGATAAAACTTACAAATATTGTCAAGGGAGTGCCAAGAAAAAGAAGAGCAAAAACTCAGAAACCTTTCTTTTTTTCCTGTTATGTCACACATACAAAGCATTTTTTAGAAATAAAACTCAATATTCATTCATTTATCCTTTTGAGGGTAATGTATTCATTTTAAAGGTCAGGATCCACATACAAATTTTACATTCCCTTCCTTCGTCCAAAATCAAATTCAGCATGTTGACATGTAATCTGGTCTATACAGAGAAATATTAACCACTTTAAGCAGGCCCTATGGAGGATCTGAATCTGCTCCTCAGAGGAGCAAACAACTCCGTTAGCACATGAGTGAGGAATCAGGCTGTTTATTGCCTCAGAAGCTGAAGCCCAAGGGGATACCCCTTATGAGAACATACTCATTGCCAACTTGGAAGCTAGACAGAGAAGTGGCCACAGATTACTTAGAAGGCTTTGGTTTCATAGTGCCCTATAGGTAAGAGTTACACCTTTTTCATTCCTATTTCTTCTATTTCCAAAAGCCTATATTCTAGAATGGACAATCTTAGAAGTAAAAATGAAGGTGGATCAGCCTTCAGCTGTATATTTCTTGAGTCTTTTGGTGCTTTATTCTAGAACAGGAGGAAACACCCAAATCACCTTTCATTGAGCCCAAGATAACAAAAAATATCAGTCTACTCTGAAATGTTGCTTTGTGGTTTCTTGTGATGACTGATGTATACTGGAACTCATCATAAAGCTGCCCCTATCATAGGCTAGAGTTTGAGAAATGGGACTACTCCCCTCCAAAGCTTTATAAGCAAAACAGAAAACAGTATGTAATTAGATCAGAAAGGCCCAGTCTGCTTGTCACTATTCAAATCAGAAATGGGCAACTCACTTGGCAACTCTAGGTATAGATGCGGGACCCTCTGAATATTTATTTTCTCTTAGCAAGCCAGTGAAACACTAGTAGGCATCTAATATTGATGGTCCCTCCTAAATGATAAAGTGCTGCATAGAAATGCATCCAAAACACCACAGTGCAATTACTATCATCCACTCTAGACGTATGGGTTTGACACAGTGAAGTATGGTACATAAGCACCATGTGGCTCAAATTCTGAATTTTATTTGCCAATCGGTTGAGCTACATGCTCGCTTCATTGAGCATGACAACCTAGTTTTAAGTGTCATTTAATTTTCATTTTGAAATATAATTACAAAGTGTTCACTGTAAGATATCACTCGTCTGCAAATGTGTCAAGATTAATTTGTGCTAGCTTATTCACAAGTGTCAATAGTTAATTACTGTGTCATCTCTGGATGGCTAAATGACATTCTAACTTCTGATTTTTTACAGTGTTCCTTTATGTTATTTTCCATTAGGGGCTGAGTCCATATTCTTACATGTGGGCAAATATTCAAGCATATAAAATACCAGACGTCACAACTCATTAAAATCAACAGAGCATATATTGCTCTATATACCCCTATAAAATACATTTAACTGAAAAGATAATTCCAGTAATAATGTCAGATTTCTAAAAACTGCACATTAATTTGGGTCCATCTGATCTAAAGCTTCAGGGACTACTCTATAGGATCATTGTTGTTAGATTAATGTACTCTAACGAGACAGGAAAAACGTTTGGGAAAGTGATTTATTTTTTAAAAGATATACACTTAAGCTCTTCTATTTTTTCGTCTTTCTCACTTCTAAATCAATGAAATCAAATTCTTAGAGGAGCCATGTGCTAATTGGTTTTCAATGATTTACCTATGAATTAAATAGAGTGACCATATAACTTATCATTCAAACCAGGACAACTTTTGCAAGTGGAATAGGGGTTATTAATAATTACTCTGGAAAACAGGCATTAGGCAAGACTATTCTGGGAAAACTGAGGCCTATGGTCACCTAAGCTTTAATGTCAGAGAAAATCATGGGACCAGTAAGCTTAAAGATCTTCAAAGTTTCTCTAGACCAGGACCTCCTTTTCTAGATGAGAAGAGTAGGTCCAGAGAGAAACAATTTACTCACAGTTAAGCTACACTAGGATTGCATGTGATGCCTATGTGAATGAATCTCTAGGTAATTAATCAAATCCAGATGTTCTGGAATAACGTTATCACGTCAGTTATGCCCATTTGCTATGATGCCTTTCTTTGTCCTCCACATATCCCCTCAGTATTCATAAAGACCCTGGATTTCCAGAAGGCTTCTTCCTTTGTTTCCCTCTTTCTCTTTCCTTCTTCTTTTCTTCTTCTCCTTGATTTATTATTTTTTTTTAGGAATGCTTATGACAAATAAACCAATCAGTGTGATTACTTGCTGAGCTTGGCACATGCCACCTCTCCAGTTCATCAGCTCCTTTTGCAGGGCTCACCTGTTCTTGCTGTTGGCGAGCAAGGTCCATTTGCTGCCGTTGTTTCTCAATTTGTGAGGCTGCCAGTTTTTTCTGTTCATCATGCGCTGCCAGGAGCTGCTCCCGTAAACTGATCAGCTGGGTAATCATAGTAGAGAGCTGCCGTTCTTTCTCTGCCAGGCTCTCAGGTGTACCTAAAATGGAATTGAGAAGATATCTCACAAGTTTGAGAAAAGTCTGAATGAATTGGGGAAAAGAGGAGGACAGATTTAGAAAGGGACTACCCTAAGACACTTAACCATCTGGGACAGTAACTGAAGATTACTGGAGTATAGGAGCACTACAGATTATCAGTGGAATGAACACTAGAGTTAGTCACTGCCCCTGCCAAGAAAAAGTATCATTGCTAATAAAATTCTCACTCTTCCCTCTGACTCTTTAAAACAAAACAAAACAAAACAAAAAGCAGAACTATCCCCATTTTAGCCCTTTTACCATAATCTCCTTCTCTCTCCCTCCCCCCGCTTACCCCCACCAAATCTATCTAATCAAGCTAGGAAACCTATGATATTTAGTACCAAAGATTAGAAACCATGGACTGTATTAATATTCTACGACATTAGTTAGTTATCTCTATCTCAGAGACTAACACAGGATTTAAGACATAGTAAGTGCTTAATAAGTGTTATTTAAGGAATTTTCCAGTCATTGATCTCATGAAACTTCTCTATTGTGCAAAGACCAGTCTCTGAAGCTTAGGAGTCAGGAGTTGTTCTCTTGGCCTTGGAACAAGTTCTACAGTGAGAGGGGGAAAAAAAACTGCCTTGCCTCAGGTAAGGTAGGATTGAATCTGATGTTTTCCCCACTGTGAAGGGATCAGGCTAAAGTTTTCAAGTTCATCCTTAAAGGCAACAATGTTGCTTGGAGGGGTCTCTCACCCTTTTGTCATTTGTCATTCTTCGAAGGGAAAAAACACGTTTGAGGTTGAAAAGGTTATGCATAAGGATGTGCTGTTTAATGAATATGATGTCGCTGAACACTTATGGTATGCACTAATGGTGCTGAACAGTCTTTTTATGGGCAAATTGCACAGCTCTCCTAAGTAAAGGGTACAGAAACCTTTTGTGAATCTAAATTAGAGCATTTACCACAGCATAAGATAAGAATTTCAACCCACTGTATTTGAGCCACACAGGTTTCATTATGAAGAAATGATCTATGATTTGAAAGCTTTTCAGAAAGATGGCACCAGCTGTCAAAGGGGACAAAGATTGCCGATTTTTGTGTGTGTGGAAGAGCAGACTTCCAATCTCCTTATGAACCCCTCCCCGCTTCAGCCCTGCTAAGAAAGCACCAGGATAATCTGAGAAACTAAAAATATTTCAGTTAGGAGTGGTCCTATTTTCTGAGTGGCCCAGGGACAAAGGGAGCCTTCAGACGATGCTGGCTAGTGCTTGCTAGTATATGATTCCCAGAATGTAAGACTAATGTCAGCAGAGAAGTTATGACACTTAGGACTACCTTGGGGTTTGTAATATCAATCCAAGTCCTTAAAAAATAAACAAACACTTAAATAGTCAATATCTCATACGCTTAAAGATTCACTGAACTGAAAAATGGCCTAAAATCTAAATTAAAAGAAAAATAATCATGAGATCATGTTAGAAAATGTATTCAATTGATAAAGGAACAAATACTGTATCCAATGTTCTTTCTAGCTACTGGAATTGATTTTTTTTTAATGAGTTTTTACTTCAGCAATGAGAATTTCAGCTTGGTAAAAAAAAAACTTCATGTTCCAGAAACATTAAAATACAAAAGCAAGTTCCCAGTAGGAATCATAAAATTTCTTCAAAAGTACAACAAGCTCAATTAGTGCATATGTTAATATATATATATGAATGAGAAGATAAAAAGTATGAAATGTATTTATTTACTTATTTTATTAATTTCTGATTTAAAAAAAAAAAAAACTTCTGGAATGGCAACTGTAACTATATGAAAGAATACTGATACTATGGATAGAAAAAGCAGATAGAATTCTCATGCACTGTGTAGTCTAAAGTGCACGAGAGTAGGGAACGTTAATCAAGCAAGTACACATATGAATGTAAACTAAAACTAAGTAAGAATTACAAAATGACAGATATTTGGGGGGAAGTTTAATCAAGTTTGGGAGGCCCAAGTGAAAGAAAGATAGATTGAAAAAGTAACAAATTAAAAGGGCAGTGAATAGAGTTAAGTAGTCAAAGAGTTGGAGGGTGATCACGGAGCTTTTCAGGAGAAATAACATGGGCAAAAAGCCCTGGAGGAGGGGAGGGGAGTTCCGGTGTGTTCCGCAAGTTGAAAGAAGGTAGTAAAACTTGAACAAGGAGAAATAAAGGGGAGTAGAGTACCAGATGAAATACAGAGATAGTAAAAGTTCATGCCATTCAGGTCTAATAGACCATGCTTGATAAACTTCATGCTTATTCTAAGAATATTTCAAAATCACCTACAGTATTGTAAATAAGGTATGAATGATGTGGTCATTCTACCTATGGTGTAGATAACAGTTTGGAAAATTATAAGAATAGATAGATAATTGGAATATATGCACATTTTATTGCATATATTTTTGGTAATATTCTGGTCTCCTTGTAATTTTCTTATTATACCTTTCTATATGAGATGAGTTAAGGGAAGACTTAATGAATACTGGGAAAGTTACTGCACCACAATTCTTAGTTAAAAAAGAGAAGCATTCATAGGAAATTCTGGGCAAGGGCCAACACAAGAGTTGTATCTGGTATTTACGTTCCCCAGGAAAAATGAAGGTTTTCTCTTCTCCTGGGTTAAACAATGTTGTTTTAACGATTTTCAGTATAGTCCCCTTCCTCCTCTACACAGGAAACAGAGAAGCTGAGGATAACAAATACATGACTTCTTTGCTTCTTCTGTTCAAGGTAAAATTAAAGGTCTATAAATGCATTGGTGCTTCCAATGCTAATAGACATGTATATCTAGATTTGCACAGTAACGCATTTAACTGATCTTTTTAAAAATCAGTATGATATTCAAGTTGTTTAATTGTAAAAATTCAGTGACATCTAAATACGTTTTAAAAAGCATGCCAAGCACTCTCCACAATAGCTAAAACATGGAAAGAGCCTAAGTGTCCATCAACAGATGAATGGATCAAGAAGATGTGGTTTATCTATACCATGAAATACTACATGGCAATGAGAAAAAATGAAATCTGGCCAAATGTAGCAACAAGGATAGACCTTGAGGGTGTTATGCTGAGCGAAATAAGTCAGGCAGAGAAGGACAAATATCATATGTTTGCACATATAGGAGGATTAGGAGGAACTTGACGGTGGAACAAGGGGGAGAAGAAGGGGGGAAATGGTGGGGGAAAGGGAGAGAGGCAAACCATGAGAGACTCTTGAATGCTGACAAAAACTGAGGACTGATGGATGTGGGGGGAAGGGGGGGATGGGCATGGAGGAGGACACTTGTGGGGATGAGCACTGAGTGTTATGTGGAAACTAATTTGACAATAAACTATTTGTAAAAAAAAAAAATAAAAAAAATAAAAAAATAAAAAGCATGCCAGAGAGCAATATTTTTAGAAAATTTAGGCATTCATATAAGACTATTGCTATCTTTTCCTTAAATTTGAGGAGCACATATATATTTTGAATAGATATGAGTGTCATAATGAATACAGTTGGAATGAAATATAGTAGGAAAACAAATCTAAAACTCCCCCTCAATGGGGAATTTATACACACACACACACATATACACACACACATATATATGTATATATAAATACATATATATAAATACATATATGTATATATAAATACATATATATACATATATGTGTGTGTATGATTAATGAGAAGTTAGGAGAAATCAATTTACAACATACAATAGCTGACACTCTAAGGGTGCATGCATGACCATTTTTCTGTTCTATGTCCATTGTATTGGTTACATATAGTGATTTAAACCTAGGTATTTAAAACTTGTAGTGCTAGATTTTTCTGTTTGAATTAACAGCAAATGGTTATACTGCTGTACTAAAAATATCATCAAATCTGGATCACGTTAATAAACCAACCTGTGAACACAAGTTATTTCATTTCAAAAAATACTAGTTTAGGGGTGCCTGGGTGGCTCAGTCTGTGATGTGTCTGACTTCACCTCAGGTCATTGATCTCACAATTGATGTGTTCAAACCCCATATGAGGCTCTGCATGACGGTGTGGAGCCCACGTGGGATTCTCTCTCCCTCTCTCTATCTCTGCCCCTCCCCAACTAATTCTCTCTCTCTCTCAAAATAAATAAATACACTTAACAGAATACTAGTTTAATTGAATGTGTAACTTTGCTATGAAAACAATGGTTCAACATTTTTTACTTCATGATGGTGTAACAGTGATACGCATCCAGTAACACAGGGAGTGAGCCTGTCTGCAGGTGCTGGGCAGCAGCAGAAACCCACAGCTCCCACTCAGCCACACAATCAGGAGGGCAAACAGCCAATTCAGTTCAACCATACTGCACCCATGTATTCTGTTTTTTACTTTCTGTATGATAATCAGTAAATTGTATGAGATATTCAACACTTTTTTATAAAATAGACTTCATGTTAGATGACTTTGCCCAGGTGTAAGCTAATGTAAATGTTCTAAGCACACTGAAGTTAGGCTCGGCTATGGTAGATGGATTAGGTGTATTGAATGCATTTCGAAGTTGATATTTTCAACTTAAAATGGGTTCATCCGGATGGAACTCCATCATAAGTAGAGAAAAACCTGGATTACTGTCAGAGTTGTTGAAAAAGTAGACAATTTATGGGGTATAGTGAGGCAACCTAAATACTGTCCAGCTATGTTAAAAACAGAAGACCAATAGAAAACTCTTAAAAGGTAGTTTAACTCTATGTAAAAAGTCTTGTTTTGAATTATGTTTTCAGTTGTGATAAAATCAACTTGGAAATAAGGAAGGTCAGATCCAGAGGCTCTGCCCAGGCCAGCAGAGGTCATTAGAAGTTGCCTATCATCTGTTTCACATCCTTCAGGCTCTCTTAAAATCTCTAAAAAGCACTGCTGGAAAATAGTCTCTCCCACAGAAAAACAGAGGTAGTTTCATAAACTGCAAAGAGGGAACCAGCAAAAAAGCTTCTGCACACAGCTTCTCT